TGATCGTCATTAGTTTCGCTATTGATTGAACCAACTAATCCTGAATCATTCAACTCATTAAGAAAACTGAGGTCTAGCTCGTCGTTTATCGTTTGTTGAGAATATATTAAAGCTTCCTTCATTGTTCGGTCCATTGCATGTAAATCTTTTGAATCCATTTGATCTAAGAAGCTATCATCCATCCCATATTCATGTTTCAAAGGCGCTTCAACATGAAGTGGTATGTCGTTTAAGGAGCCATATTCAGTTACTTTTCTGTTGATTCTGACAGCCTGATTAAATTTTCAGTTGAAATCAATTTTCTTGCATGTAATTTTTTCTCCAAAATCGAAGGCTCTTCGTAATTTATTTTGGTCAATACCATCTCCTTCTTGTATATAATTTGTACTATCATATGCCGGCTATGTGTAGGTGTTGCAGCTACGTCAGCGACAATGATATAAACCATGCGGTTATCAGGATCATTGTCAAATTCGTCAATTTGTTCGAACTTCTCCGCGTGTTTGTTGATTCGGAATGCATATTATTTTGTAGTTGACCATGATTGATTACAAGACTATGGATCAGATATCTAAAACAAAACGAAGGCATTTTTATAGAACATGAAATTATGTACAAAATTTGGTTTTTTCAAGTGTTGTTATGACTACGTGGTCACATTTTCCTTGCGTTAGAAAACTGTATGTACGGCAAGTTGATCCAGCAATAACTATAGTGAGAGAACTTATCTACATCAAGTAAGAACTATTATTGTGAGATATTTCGTAGCAATTTATTCTATTTTTATCACCCAAAAAATGCGTTTATGGTCAAGATGAAGGCAACCTTCATATGACTACCGTAACATAGCATAAAAAAGATGTATGCCATTTTTAAGAACTATTTTATTGAAGATATTTTTTATATATCCCAACATTTTTCGAAACAAACAGAAAAAATCTTCGAAACAAGAAACAAAAAACATTAAAAATCTGAACAATAAACTACTGAAAGGTTAGAGGTAGTGTCCTGATCGAAAATCGCCCAAGTCGCCAGCTTCCATCAACTAATACTGGACCTTGTACTGTGTGTGGTACTGGACCTGGTACTCGACCTTGTACTTGTCGCTGGCAATACCCTAAAGAAAAGCTTAATTTTAGGTTTCCATAGAACAAAATGGTCCAATTTACTTTTCTCTTCTTTTTCTTTTTGCTTACGCGATGGTTGTATTTTAGCCATTGACGCTCTTTTCCACCTTTCCTGCCGCCATCGTTCTTCTTCTTTTTTTTCTTCTCGCTCCTAAAATATCACGAAGTAGTGTGAAGATACCGGTTAGTATCATATTAGCAAAAATAACTGAACCGCTCTGAAACTTACTAGACGAAGCAACCATTCTTCTCTAGCCCGTGAACTTTGTTGTCGCATTTCTTCAGCAATAATTGGATCCCCGGTCCAACTTTTCTCTTCCTCTTCCCTCCGCATTTGCTCTTTCATGATTAAATAACATCGAGGAGTTTGTTTGAGTTTCCAGTCTAAATAAGGTTTTCATTGAATGAGTGTGTAACAGCTTTTAGAAAAAATGAATGCATGATGAATATATGATGATAGATGAGACGGTATAATGGAATGAAACAAAAAAGAGTTAGAAGAGAAAAGGATGAGAAGTCCATGGGAAGAACGGCTATATTCTTCACATTGTGAATACATTATCCGGTTTCACTCACCAACCAATTGTGTTATTGTACCGATAAATTAAGTCATGTATCATTTCGAAGATTAAGCAATTAAAGTACTATCTATCGATCTGAAAAATAAAAAGCATAATTTTCAAAATTTTCCGTAGTAGTGAATTGTAAGACTTTTAATCAGATTGCTATTTTATTTTGGTTTGTATAGCAAAAATAGCTGGTTAGACGAGTTATAGGACTGATTCTACTACAAACAAAATAACTTCTGCTCTAAATAGGAAATATGACATCCGCTGTTGCAACGAATTTTTCATGTATAATACCTGGTACATCTCAACATCTCTTATGACCTTACAGAACTTTATGGACTTGTTTACATTTGAAAAGTAATGCAAGTAACTACAATCTGAAAGAATCCGTTTGAATTTTGCTTCAGCTTATTAACAAAGGAAATAACAACAAAAATAACAAGTGTAACGGATTTATGATACCTGAACAACTCCCCTTCTCAGCATATATTCTTTTGGCCCCAAGGGGCCTTTTGTTACCACTAACTTCTACTTACCACGAACAAAAACTACTCACGCTGTACAATCATGCGTTATATATACAGGGTATGAGAGAGAGAAACAGAGAGAGAGAGAGAGAGAGAGAGAGAGAGAGAGAGAAGAAGTGAGAACGAAATATAATAAGGAAGAGATATTGATGATTATCTGTCTATCCAATGGAGCGGAGAGAAAAAGGAATAAGAGGAAGTCAATTCGTTCTTTACAACAAGCAATATGCAAAAGATACAAAAACAGATGGTGTAAGATATACAAATTACAAAATACTATATACAGAATATACACTATGACTAATTTGTTAATTTAGAAGAAAATGAGCGACCTAAAAGACCAGTGTAACTAGATTATGTTATCATGCAAAAGTCAGACAAAATTTTTTTCAAATAGATAAGTCTGTTATAAGTGATTACATTTACGTCTGGTTTGAATAAATGAAACTTTAAGAGACCTATAACTTGGAACATTGATATATTTTTCAGAAACAGGTTTCTTTTAGTTTTTAAGAAATAGAGCTGTCAGTATCATAGATAAAAGTTAGTAAAATGGATCCGTTTCAATTTAATAGTGATTTTAACATACATTTTACTAACTTTATTCTGTAATATTGAGATCTCTATATGCCAAAAAATTAAAGAGAGCTTTTTCTAAAAAGCAGCATAGTATAGAGTGCGAGTTGTGTACTACAAACTGCCAGAAAAACTAAGGAAGGGTACCGTCAAATTTGTTAACGTTTTAATCTCGGAAGTTGCTAGAATAAACACTAATTTCATAGTGAAGAGAATCTTTCTTTCGGGTAAAACGATAAAATTTGTTCTTTTTTCCATTTTTTGCTTTATATCTGTGTCTCTATAGTATGTATAGAAAGAAGAAAACATCAAAGTTTCATCTAACTGAACTACAAGAAATACTTAATGTAGAGAAGCAAAACATGCGCATTGTACAGTGATATCGTACTTCATTCTCGTCGTGTGAAATTACTTTGTTCGATAAGAACAAGGAATAGTAACACCATCATACGGTGTGGACGGAGTTTGTGTTGCTTATCGCGCCTTAACTCTGTCTTTCTCGATGGAAACCACCTGACGAGACCCCTGAGAAAGGTCGAAATTGGTCGTAGTATCTTTTGATTTTTTCAGAAATGAATTCTGTCTGAATCTCTAGTAACTACAAAGCGGTTGTAAAATTAACTAAATATAATTATTCAAGTCGAGTTTCACATTTATATAGATGAAACAACATTGGACTTTTAGACAACTGTATTAGCCGAATAGTTTAGTATATATATATTTCAGATATTTACTAAAATGAATTCACACAGTCCTTCGTCTTTGTTTCTGTGTACACCACCAAATCTATCTTCTCCTGTTAAACCAGCATTATTACTCGTACCAGTGTCACCGACACCTACATCTGTTATTAGCCTAATTTCACCAGCGTCATCTGCCACAATAACACCAGCAACATTATCTATTACAAGGAAAACTGTACGTGCAAAAAGAAGTTCAGCATGGGCATACTTTCAACAACCTACCAATGCTAATTCATTTGATGTTACTTGTAATCTTTGTAATAATATTATAAATCGTACAACAGGAGCTACAACTACGCTGTTTCATCGTCTGAAATTACATCATAATAGTGAATATCAAGCAGCGAAGGAATCGATGGTCACAACGAGGAAGAATGATCCGAGCTTCCCTTTAGTTCTTGATGGTTCTCAAGTTACGCAATTAACACAAGTTGCAGTATGTCTTTTTATGAATGATTTACTACCATCGTCAATTATTGAAAGTCCACGTTCACAAGCTATTTTTCAGCATTTTTTAGACTCACTTTAATTTTTGTGTAAATATTTAGTGCATTGTATGCAATCTTGTTCTTCTTTTATTTGTGACATACATTTATACATACATTTAAACTGATTAGTTTACAGGTGGATTCATTTTTTTTTAATTTTTCTTGTGTTATCTAATAAATGTATTGAAAAAAACCAGTTAAAATCTGACACATGACATAGTTTCCACAAAGTGCTGAGCGAAAGTGATTCGATTCTTAATGATCATATGTGTGCATACTTATGCAAACGAAGGGAAGCATCTTGAAGTATTATGTACTGATGAGTTAATTTTAGATAAAATTGTTTGCTTAGTATCAGAAAATGCAGCAAATATGGTTAAAGTTGTTACAGATTTTGAAAAAGATAAATCATCTGTCTGCTGATTCCATATTTCTTTTACAACGTTTCTAAATTTTCAGGTTGGTTCTCCGATCACCTGTTAAATCTATGTGTTAGTGATGCAAACAAATTAGATAAGGTTAAAGAAGTTATATAAGGAGTTATATCTATTATCTGCATGAAAAATATTTATATATTATTTATATGAATAATATTTTGTATTATCTATATGAAAAACCAGATGAA